TTAGAAACAAAATGGAGCTATATCCAGATAATTGTTTGTGGCATTCTACCCATAGAACACTCCTGATTGTGGCAGTGGATGAGGGCTTTTTTGTCAATTGCCTTTCATGTAAAGGTCCCTGTGCCTCCTGAAAAGCCATTACAGAGGAATAGAGAAAAGAGGGACTGCAGATGAATTGTTAAAAAGTGCCCCCACTACCTTGTTTGAATGGAGGTCACTGGAAGAAATGGTTGTTCTAGATAAACCTATGGCATTTCTACTTAAAAAAGAAATACAGAAATTTGGAATAATCATTTGGAGCGAATACCAGCATCCAGTGCAGCTTGCACAGTAAGAAGACCATTACTGGTACAACAGGAAGTTATAAGTGAATAGAAATAAGTCACAACACTCATTTCTCAAATGTGAAGTTTGATTCCATTCCATTCCAGAAACAAGTGCTTCCACTCATTTCCAGGGTTGCCTTAGAAAGCACTAGCTTCCTCTATTGCTCATGATGAGTCCTGTTGATGTGACAGAAGGAATGGGAGTGCAGCAGTGGCATAGGATGCTGCCCAGTCAAATGGAGGATCCTTTATTTAAAAGATAATATAGACTATTTGACTCCAATACAGAGAGGCTTGCAATGGTGTAAGTGGGAATGTGTGGGGAAGGATTTTGGTGCTTCTCTCTGCAGTCCCTGGTATCACCTTCAGTGCTGTTTCAGACTGTCCCCAGTGCCCTACAACAGACACTTGTAGGCCAAAAGAAAAAAGAAAAAAGGGAAGTATCTATTAACAGTGTTCCACTCACAGGAACTTAGGAACTCTGAATTGGATTGCACATTAGAGCTAATACTTGCTTTTCTGATAATTATTGTACCATATGAAAGCTCTTGTTTCATTCATCAATAATTACTGATTGGATAGAACTCTAAAATGTATTGCAGTCAAGTATTTTTGTGAGTTTCCTTAGGTTAACAGATAAAAACATTGAGATGGATCACATTTCCTACTAACTGAAGCAATATATACTGGCAATGGCTACAGCTTAATAACTAATGGCCAACAGAGGGGAAAGTGTGTGCCTAAGCACTGTAGATCAACTCCGTTTTTCATTGTCAGACAGTGATTCATTAACCACTTATAATGGTGTATGTCTTAGTGAGTTCAGTGTCAGATACTATCTGATAATTATCCCATAGCTAAGAATGCTGTGCTGTAACTCAGGAACTGCTCAATCTATAGTATTCCCATAGAGCCAAATTGAACTACTTTAATTTAAGCAGTTTTCAAAAGGAAGCTTTACATTTAGGACCATTAAAGAGTTTTCTGTTGATCAATTACCTGCTTTTTTATTAAACTATTCAAATTAAATACATTCATATACAACACAAAGCCCAATTTTGATCCCTTTTAAAATATTGTAATGTGAGATAACTTATACCAAACAAAAGCTCCATAAAATAATTTATTCTTCATTCCCTATTACAGCAACACACAACAATGAAATACCTTACCCTCCCCCTTTGTCAACTGATTATAATTTGCCCTTATAAAATGTAATAGTTTATTAAGAAGCAGTCAAGGTGGCAGTAGGAAGATAATTGTTTGTAGATGCAAAATATTAGAATTGCAACAAGCAATATTCACTCTGTTATACTATGGCTGGACACAAAGGGTTGTCTTAAAAAAAGAAGCAGGAAAGCTAATTAATTTGCAATTCAGAAAAGCTAGAAATGATAGGTAAAAGTACACTTTATTTTTATTCTTAATTTCAATATTCTATAATAAGGACATTCTAAGGTTGAATGTTCCAGCAAGTATACATATTTGGAAAGTATGCAAATGAGGACTGAAAGTTTGATACCCAATTATATACTCTCACATCTAAGACTGGTAGCTAGGATACAAGAAAGAAGACCAGGATTCTACCAGGATTTTCAAAGACATGTTGTTACTTATTTAATCCTGAAACGTGATCATGTAAAAGGTATATAGAAAATTACCCTTATTTCTGGATATTCCACTCATGGATGGGAGAAATTTAACTGAATTTACATTTAATTAATGTTATGGACTGTTACTTTTGTTTAGAAGAGTAGACAAACTGAGAAAAGAAACATGAACTCCAGAGAGATTTTGAGGAAAGATCTGAAATTTGGCTTTCTTGAGACACAGAAGCAAAGCCTGGGGAAAAGCAGCCTGAGGGATTCTTTGAGTGTGCTTGCCTATACACTGATTCTGCCTTGGGAATAGCCTTGATCATACTGATGGCTGTTCTCTATTCCTAATATGCAAAAGTGTAAACAGATTTTCTCAAGATATTATGATAAAGACATCTGCACTCTTTCTTTCTGAAGTAACTGAAAAGGCTCCATTGATTTTTAGCTTGATCAGAACTGTCTATCTCTGGATCAAACAGTGGGTCGAAATGCTATTTTAGAATATTAGTACTTAACGTCACCACCACATCCTGTGTACTAGTAGAAGCAAGCACTGCTCTCAGTTCAGGTTCTAGAGAGCAGATTTTCATATTTCACAACTTTCTATTTTACTTCCATTGTAAGATACAAGGGTGAGAAAGATGGCTCACTCATGTATAAGCTCTAGGAGCTGTGCCTAAGGAAATGTATTAGTCAGAACCCTGACTGCTACTCTGAGTTATTCTTGGGTGGCTTATTGCTAGAATGCAAACATCATAACAATATTTGTCATTTTACAAATATTAAAAGAGTATCTTCCTTTTAGCAAGGCCACTTGGTTACAATTTTAAGATGTTTTATTTATTTAGTAGAAATCAAGGTATGACAGGAAGTGAGAAGGAATATGCTAGTTCAGATAATGATCCTAACTGGAGAAGAAGCTCTGGAAAAAGTAGCATTTGGTAATGCTATCAAGCATTACAAATGGTAGAAAGTCCCCTTCTGATACAAGTAATTACAAACCATCTCATTGTTATTGGAATCATCACACTGATATTCATGTTATTAGATATTATCTCTCACTAAGCTGTGTTTGTCCAAGTCTTTGTTTTTTGTTATGATATAGTAGTATTTATGTTAAATGATAAAAACAAAACTTTAAAAAGAACATATTAAGCATATTGCAATAACAGGACATACTTTTCTCATATTGTCAACACATTTCAAAAGTCTTAAAATTTCTAAAATAGCAACAAAAATTTAAAAAATCAAAACCGATGAAATGTTAGCAAAAATTTTGTCTTGAAAACATTATGTCCAATGTGTAAGTTTTGGAATTATATGAATAACTTGCATGTAATAGTGTCTGCCACCATTAGAAGTATAATTTACCATATACCTTTAAAAGCCGTCTGCTTTTTCTTTGACTACTAGGAAAGTTTCTTAAAAGACAGTAGTTTAAAAGGGAAAGAAATTACAGAAAGGTAGATTTGGGTGTATATAAAACCACTGAATTATCCAAGTGGTTATTTTCAACATACTGAAAGAATGCTGTGAAAGACCATAAGCAATTTTCATGAAGTCAGGACTTTTTTGTATTATTTGGCATATTAGTTGGATCATACCTAATGCACAATAAGCTAGTTGACTCCATGTTGTCCCTAGGGCTAAACTAAGCTATTGTTCATATAGTCATCCATTTAAATAAATAACTGATCAGGTTGCAATTGCTCATGATGCCAGGCAAAGGGGCAGTTGTAGGCCCCAGAATGCAGCTTTGGCTTAATTTCATGTGTCCTGGGTCTAATTCCTATTTTTTTTCCTGGAATGGATCATTTCAAATGTTTAGCAAGAGTGAATTGTTCCTCCTGGGACAACCCACTAGTTGGGGCAGAAGGAGGAAGCAAAAAGGGGTAGCGGGGAGAGAGAGAGAGAGAGAGAGAGAGAGAGAGAAGGAGGAGGAGGAGGAGGAGGAGGAGGAGGAGGAGGAGGAGAAGGAGATATAACACAGAGAAAAAAGGGATGGCAGAAAGAGAAAATAAGAATAATACAGAACTGGGGTTTCCACTTTGCCTTTGACCTTACCCATTGCTGTCTTCAGCCCTGGCCACTGCTGGCATGTGGCCAGCAGATTACCTCCAAGTGAATGTGGCCCTTAATAGAAAAAAACTCCCCACACAAGTTCCAAGGCATGGTTGGTAAGCCTGCAGCCTGTAAATGGCACACAAGACCCATTCCTCCACCCAAAATGGCAATAAAAATGAATTCTTGCAAAACAAAACAAAATGGTTTCTGGAAAGGCCATTTAATCCTTTTAGCACTCCACAACTACTACAGAGCTTCAATATTAGTTTGAAACCAAGCAAATTCTTACCCATTTGGAACTTTGTAGCCACTCCAAATGACATTTAAATTTATTTCAACTTTTAAAACATTTCCACTGTCACAGGAAGCAGACAAAAAGTATAACTCAAATGGCCCTTAGACTTCTCAAAGTTTCTCACACCTCCTCCTAGGATAACCTTATTCATTTTGTGCAGTTAGTTTAATTATTAGGAATAAATCAAGCTTCTTCTGTTTTGTTTTCCAAATCCTAACTCTGTAGAAATCTATTTATCTGAATGTATCTGTGACTATGAATATGGAATTTTTGCTTCCCAAATGAAAATCACTGATATTTGCTGCACTGATAGTAATGTTTGTTTCCTGCATAAAATAAAATAGATTTTATAATTGAAGATGCTGCATGAATTGCTTTGAATTCATGTAAAATTTAAATTATTTATCTACCCTACCTGAAAAACTTAAATATAATTTTGAAAAAGGAACTCTAGGTACTGTTATTGTTACATATGATATAAATATTGAACAGATGAAAATCGTTTCACTGAATGAAAGACCCAGATGTCTGAAAACAGATGTTTAGTAGTATGCATGCCATTCCCATGCAGTAATCTGAAATTTGCATGTTCTGTTCCTTACAACAACACATCCAAGATGTGGAAAGTTGCATCTTCACATGACCTGCTCTTGATGAATAGTGATAATGGAGTAAGTATACAGCAATAAAGCAAATAAATGATCTTAAGCAACTTACTTTTTGTAACAACTCCTTCAAGGCGGATAATATTTGGGTGGTCAAACTGTCCCATGATACTAGCTTCTCTTAAAAAATCCCGTCTCTGTCTTTCCACATATCCACCTTTCAAAGTTTTTATGGCCACAGGAATCTCCCTTTTTCCAGGTGTTTTCAAGCGACCACTGCACACTTCTCCAAATTCACCTTAAGTTAAAAAACATCTTGTTAAGCTTTTAGCAATGTGTTTGAATACTAGGAAACATAAAACAAACAAATTTGGCATAGCAATGTATATGTTTAAGCTTTTATAGCAAATATCCTTGTAGCAGCTGTTTTATTATTTTACTCCTGAATAGATACACAATTATGGTTGAAGAAATCTTGACGTATGTAATAGTCTATAAAAAGAAACAGATCTACAATTATTAACTTTGAAACATATATGAAGAAAGACTTCTGAGCAGTGAGTTGAGCTGGTTACAAATGTTATCATGGGGAGAAAAGAGGCCAACTTACATATTTCTATGAAAAGCAGTGCTCAAAGCAGGGCAGTATCCGGAGGACTTACATTGTACATACTCTGAGGACTAACTAAGAACCATCTCATTTCTATTCAATGGAATAATTCTGGCCAAACTGGGAATAAAACTGCCCCAATCTGTCCACTACAAGCATGGAACAAATGCAGTAAAGGTAGGATTTCCTGATCTAATCCATACATATATCATTCCTTTGTTAGAGATAGGATGAAATAAATGCCACCACAATCAGTAAGGTTGGTGGGCACTAGAGACACTGCTTTTCATTGGTGGCCCCTACCTATGAAGATAAGGCTGGCCATATCTACAACTGCTTCTAAAAGAAGTTTTTAAAACTTACCTATTCTCCATGGCTTTTAATTGAAAATGTTAGTTATTTGCTGCTGAAGGTATCCAGCAACTGTACTTTACTGAAACTGTCTTTATTTAAAATTGTTCTTATTCATGTAATTGTATTAATATGTGTAGAAAAGGGCCCAGATCTTGAATGTTACAGTACGTTCAGATAGATTCATCTGACTCTGAGGAGGAGGAGCAGAGGTGAGCAGATGACCTCACAAGGCTTCCTAGTGAAGATTCCCAGCCACATCAAGAGAACTAGCACACCTTGGAAAAAGAGGGAGAACTAGGTAGCGGAGGATATAGAAAAGGAGTTTTTGATCCTGTGAAGAGATGACAGGTAAAGTGAGTAGGCCAGTTAAGAAATGCCTGACATTCCTGCTGTCTAGGCCTCAAGAAGAGGAAGCTGCCCTGAGGGAGGAGCCAGAATCTTTTTTGAAAGGGTGAAAAAGGAGGGGAACTTTCAGTTTGGATTCCACTCTTCAAATGGATGGATGCTTCTCCTGCATTTCAGAGAGAATGCTTGACTGATTTATACACTTTTGTAACCTGTTAAGCTCTAAGAAAAGGATCATCCTTCTCTTTGCTGGAGCAAAAAAGATAGAGGGAGAAAACTGTTCATGACGGTATGTTTGTATTGGGTTTTATTCAAGCTTCTTTTAATTAAAATTATGGATATTTAATATGATCTATTAGTATGTTTAGGAAGACCATGGTCCTTAAAATGCAGCTAGGAAATTAAAGCACAATCCTACAGGGATAACTGTTTCCCTCAAGGATTACAGGCATCTGATGCAGAGCAGGTGGACAACAGAGGCAGAGGTGGCTTCCCACTTGCCTCACACTGCAGAAAAACTAGACAGCCAATTTTGGTTGTCCTACTCTGGCACTTTGGAAGGAGATTGAAGGAGACTAGGACACTGCCACTATGCATCTTGTCTTGGCATCACCATCCCTGCCCCCTGTAACACCCAGTAAACGCCTTCTCCAAGGCCCTTTCTGTGATTTTGGAAATGCAGCTGATGTGGTTCTTTCTGTGCCATATGTGGGGGTCAGATTACAGATTCCCCATCTCCAAGGTCAGAGTGATTTCCTGAACTAAGAGTTGGGAATTGAAACAATCCTGTCACATTGTATAGGAGTCATAAAATTGCTCTCTAAAAGAAACAAATTTAGCTAAGATATAATTTGAGTGGATCTGGGCAAAACTGGCATGCAGTGGTAAATCTTAGCCATTTAAAAATGGCTAAGAATGAAGAAATCACCAGACTATTTCACCACAAGTCCAAATTAGGTTGGATCCATTCCAGCTATGCCCATATTCAGCTTGATTTATGAGCATGAGGCCTTAGCTATCTTGGGAGGAAATAAATAGATAAATAATAATATTTTATGCAGTGTATTTATTTATTTATAATATTTCTTGACTGTCTTTCAGAGAAGAAGTCCTCCTATGGTGATATACAATAATAAAATGCATAATAAAAACCTGACACAGTTTTAAAAAGCAACAAACACTGTAAAAATATAAAATGTATCAGAGGAGTTCCAAGTGAAATAGTATGCTTGCAGGGCCATTTTAAAATCCTGCCTCTATGTGGCTCTGTGAACCCCTTATGGTGATTATTCCTTCTGTAGGTTCTGCTTAACATGGAATAACAACGAAAGATGCAAGAATTTATCATATTTATCTGATAGAAAATAATTCAGTCTAGCTGTTAAATCCATGTTGGAAACCTGTACTGAAGTATTTCTGTATTCTGAGGGACTGGAGAAAAGAAAAATGGGCTCATTTTCCTTTTGAATCTAAGACTAAAGAACTGTTCACCAGGACCAATGTACACAACAAGAGAATTAACTGTGCCAAGGATTCTGGTAATCTTAAGTCTTTAGCAAAGTGGCTGCTCCCCTATTCCCCTCTCCTTGTGTACAGTGAAAAGAATCTTCATAAATATTCCATATGCTTTCCCCACTTCAGTGCAAGCACTACAAAGAGGCTGGAAAGCAGAGAATATGTGAGGAGCACAATGAGCAGAAGTACTGGGAGATAAACATGCCTATCTATGTAAAGACTTACAAAATGTCTTAAGAAGGGGTGGGAGAAGTGCTATGCAGACAGATATCTGATTTCACCCACAGCCATAGCTGATGCTTAACTATGGCTTAGCATCTTGCTAATATTGCTGTGCCTTGTAGAAGAATACTGACATTTCTCAGGAATGACTTATCAAGATTTATTTTTCATTATGATTTTTCTTTCTGTCTCTGCCTCTACTTTAATCAGTCTTCCCACTCCAGCAGGAGCAAATGATTTCACATTATCTGTACCCTATTTAGCTGATACAGCTATGAAATGCATTATATTATTTTTAAGGTAACTAACAGATGGCATATTGTCCTAAAGTCTAATTATTAATTCCCTTTGCTAAAAGTAAGTTGAACTTAGAAATATATGTCTGAATAAAATTTCACCATAGGAATTGTCTTGTGGCACATAATGGGCACAGCAGATAAAATACTTTATTGATCCCTTAAGCAAGAGTTCCTCCTTTTAGAATAATCTCTTTGAATCTACTTAAGGGCAGGCAATAATAAATGTCTGTTTACTAGTATCTAATTGTATTTATTTTTTGAAACAATGTACCTTACCTTATATTTGCTCCATTTTTTTTGGCTTCGTTTTATGTAGCACCTCCCACCCCCATCACAAAGGGCAAGAGGACGTTATATTATTGTCTAACCCTCAATAGTTTAACCCGTTGGTGAAATGCCTAGAATTTACCCCTGTTTAAGCTTGATGACTTAGAACAGAAGGGCCAGTTCTGAAAGCACAGAGAAATTACAAGGAGGCCCTCTGAAAAATCAATTATTGTAATTTTGTATTAGGGGCTACAGTTAGACTCCACCCCTTGGGCTTTCCTTTATTCTGCTTTTAGATTCAGCCTCAGTTGTGAATCTCCCAGCCAGGAATACAGAAGCATGTTTGTTTGCCTGCAGTAAGAAGGCTCTTGCCCTGTTGATTCTGCAGTTGTTAAGATGAGTACAGCGGGATGGGGTGTGTATTGCTAAAGGGTGAAATAGATAAAGTGAAATGAAAACAAAAACCATCTACCCTAACTTACCCTTTACTTTTTTAAAGCTATGCTTACAGCCATAATGGCTAATTTTCTTCTTTTTTCTTGAGTACTTGATGGCAAAGAATGAAAACAGCCCTACAGGATCAGAAATACTGCTGTGCACACTGCAGTGAACTGACTGGCTGGCCACACAGGTCATAACTCAGGCCTAATTTCTGATTTTTCCAGTGTGTGCAGCTCAGCATGAAGCTTTTCAGGCTTTTTTCTTTTACAAGTCTTTTTTGAATCTGCTATTCAGAAAGGCATTGGGCTCTCCTGTTTCAAATGTTGCATATTGTGCCACATGTTTAGTAGCTACACAAAACCACTGAGCTCTGGAGTAAAATGCCACTGATACAAGAAAGATACCTTACTTAATTGCTCTATGTTACCTAACACAAACAAAGCAACTGAAATCTTTGAATATTGCCTGTGTTCAATAATGGGCTGTGTAACTGGGTAAAGTTAAATCCAGTCAAGATGGACATGTTTTTGGTAAGTAGAAAGCCTAACTTGGAACTGGAATTCAACCTAATCTGGAGGGGATTGTGATCTCCCTGAAGGATCAGGGAGTGTTCCTTGATCCTACATTTTCCCTGGATCTTCTGGAAGTAATGATCATGGTGAAAACTCAGGAGCTGAATGGTCCTAGAACTAATACAAACCTGGTAATCGCTTGAGGCAGAACAAGAAGACTAAGTCCTACTACAACACCTCTAAATAAGGCATTAAACTGACCGAGTATGATGTTACTTAGCATAATATCTATCTGATGAAACATTTGTTTTTACTCTAGGTCATGGCTCCTCAAACTATGGCTCCTCAAACCATGGCTCCTCAAACCATGGCTCCTTGCGGGTTGGATATGGCCCGCTATGGTCATTTACCCGGCCTCCCTCAGAGCTTTTGGACCCACTCAGAGAAAACGATCTCCGAGCGAGTCCGAAAGCTCAGAGCCAGCACAGGCATTCTCTGAAACTGAGCAGAGAGCCGGCGCATGTGCCAAATTTACAAAGAGCACATTTTCCTTCAACTGTGCGTGCGCTGACTCTTCCTCCCCATTGCACGCATGTGTTAGTTCTGAATACAGAGTGGGAATACGGAGCGGGAAACAGAAGAGAGGAGGACGGAAGAGAGAGAGACACACACACACACACACTAGAAAAGGATTGAAGGTAAGAAAAATATAACTTTTTAAATCTATTTTTAATTATGTGAGCCATGTCCCTGGGCTGTGGGCCAAGCCGCCAAGCCATGGTCTTCTCTGAGCAAGCCGCCACCATTGAGCGGCTGCCATGCTTCCCCCCATGGCAGGGAGAGGCACCCTACTCGGCCAACCGCGGCCCTGTCCCTCGCCTCCTCTCACCTTGGAAAGCAGCCCTTACCTTCCTCCTCACAGCCCTCTCCAGGTGAGGACTATAATTTCCATCTTCCCCAACCAGCATGGCCAATGGAATTTGTAGTCCAACTCATCTGGATAGTACCAGTTTTGGCAAGGTTGCACTAAAATATGGTAGTCATTAGCTCTGATCCAAATATAGCTGTTGTGTATTGTGGGAATTGTTCTGGGCTGACTCGCTTCAATACTAAGAGTGGCATTAACAGTATTTATCCTTAGTATTTTTGCTTCATTCTTTGTAAATGCCAGTTGCAGTCATCAGCTGCATTATGCAAAATATTATTTTTAGTGCTTTGGTTGTGTTGTAGCTATGTCCCTTGAATATGGACATGCTCTTCCCCACCTCATCTTGGGCTTCTGCTGCAGCCCAAGGAAGTGGACCAAACATTTTTTATTTTTTAATTATTGTTTAATTTTAATTAATTTTAATTATTTTAATTTTAATTAATTTTTAAATTTATTTTAATTTTAATTAATTTTTTAAATTTATTTTAATTTTAATTAATTTTAATGTGCAGTGTGCATAGGAATTTGTTCATATTTTTTTCAAACTATAGTCCAGCCCTCCAACATTCTGAGGGACAGTGAACTGGCCTCCGGTTTAAAAAGTTTGAGGACCCCTTCTGTAGGTCTACACAAAGCTACAACATCAAAGCTCTCAATACAGGGCCTTGTATAGAAAGACATTTTTCATTGCATAATTGCAGATGTGTACAACTAAAATTTATGTAGTTTTAACAGTTGAGCAGACTTTTAAAATTATCTTAGTTATGCTTTTCATGGTAAAAAGGCATCTCTTTTTCATGTAGCAAATTTCTTTTGTTTGTTAGTAGAAACCAAAGTCATAACTCTATCTTTGACTTACCATCTACATGAATTTTTTATAGCCCAGAGAGTGCTCATTAGAGTGCAAAATGTAATTTGTTATGATCAGAAGATATCAGCTAAAAAATATCCTAATAGAATATGCATAATTTGACAAATACAAAGAAATTATGAACTGACCTATATTCCAGCTACAGTTAAGTAACTCAGTTCAGTAAGACATACAAAGAAAGAGGTAGTATGATCTCTAAGGGTTAAACAGGCTTCCCTCCTTAGTGTTTAATGTTATTTTACACAGAAAATAAATGTGAAGCAGTGAAAGGAAATATCATGATAATTTTGTATTCAGTTTTGGACTTTCATTGCATTCCAGATCTATGTCAAAGTTCAAAGATGAATATATCAGCAGTGGCTTGTTTAGCTGTCTGCAGTTGACTCAGGCTGTTTCACTCATGGAACTACTTTTATTTAATATATATAAGGCTTGATTGATATGGGAGTCAAATGAAGGGAAGTTGAGTCAAGCACTCCAGAAGCTTCTCTCTAATGGACTAGTAAGTTCAGTTCCACAAGACTGCATGATTATCAGCTTGCATTAATGACAACAGTAACAGAAGTGTATTAAGAAATGTAATAACTCTTACTGATTATGGAAAGGAAAAATATACCATGATTCTTCAGAGCTCTATCAGTACCAATCATTATTGGCAAAAGAAACTCCTCACTTATGGTGAGTTTCTGGGTCAGAAAGGCAGTTAGCCTATCTGTTAACTCATTCTTCAGTTGGCCACATGTACATCCACACGTATGTGCCGGTGTGGAGCCTGTCTTCATTAAATTTCTGTAGCCAGGAGAGATTGGCAGGAAGGGGTTAACCTGGATCTTCTGGAAGAATAAATGGGTGCAGACTATCTTTCCTTCAGATACTGAAATTGCTGAGATCAGTTCCAGACTCAATAAATTAGGTCTGGTTTCCAGAGCACTTGGTACTGATGGGCCCTGCCAAGTCAGATCAGAGTGGTGACTCTTTTATTGCTGTTTATGGCCCTCCTATTTTGCAGCTTCTACCAATTTTGCTGCTTTTGTCTTTTTAATCCTGCCATTAGGGGCATGGTCTAGACAAGTGGTGGCAAACCTATGGCATGTGTGCCGCAGCGGGCATGCAGAGCCCTCTCTGTCAGCATGCGAGCCAAGTCACCCCAGCATCGCCCCAGCAGCTGAGCATCAGATAAGAGCACACATAGGGGCCATGTGCATGCTCGGAAAGGAGTACCAGCACCAGGCAATGACATCACAAGCTGCGACTCATTAACCATGACTTGTCCAAGCTTTCACATGGCCAGTCAGTGCGCTGCCAAGGATATATATATATTTGCTTGGATGGGCTGTGAGTTTTAATACATTAGTTTTTATTAACACAAAATTTTATCTTTGAGTTTTCTTATGAAAAATTGAAATTTAATTTTTAAGATTCAGCAAAAAGATGTTCTAATTAAGAGACTGAGATTCTTTTAATGTTGTGCTGTCCCCCTGGCATATTTGAATCAGCAGCATCATATTCAGTTGTTTTTTTCTAAACTTAAAACCTCAATATTCAGGTTTTATTGCAGTCTTGGCACTTTGTGATAAATAAGTGGGTTTTGGGTTGCAGTTTGGGCACTCAGTCTTTAAAAGGTTTGCCATTACTGGTCTAGACCATGACTAGAGCCCTGAACAAGGCAGGCATAATTGGAGGTAAGGCAGGAGTCTTTGAAGTGGATGAGTGATAATTTTCCATTGCTTTGGAGGAATCCACTGTGTCAAGTTCCTTGCTCCAAAGTTTCACTCCTAAGTGGTCCATTTAATTTTGGTAGGCTTCTTTGGTGAAAATCTGACTGTAAGGTCAAGATTCCATGGCATGACCTTCTCCCAGGCAAAAACAAAGGCAATGGGAAAGACTGTTAGTAGTTGGGAGTTTGCTCCCACACTTCACATACTTCCTGAAAGGAACCTTTCAGGGTCATACAGCTAAGGAGGGAATAAAAAGTTTCAGTAAGAAAGCAGTAGGGAAAATGGTGAAAAAGACAGTAGAATGGGAGACAAAATAGAAGAAGGAGTTGGAAGAACAAGACAAAAAGGACAAAGAACATAAAAAGAAGCTGCTAGTGACTGCAAAGGGATGAATTTCCTGAGGCTACCACAGTGGTTTTTGAGGAAGAACTGAGGGAATAGGTGGAAGCCACACTATATATGGACACTAAGGATAGAAGAGGGGTTCCTTTCAAAACATTTTCAACATTAGAAACCTCTGAAAGACAGGGTTCATGTAGGTGTAGAGCCCATATATGTGATGCACAGAGAACTGGCATCTCTTTTATCATTCAGGCATGCACCTACCTTTCAACATGTGCATGAAAACTGACTAATACTTTGCAGTTCTTTGAGCTATTAGAAAGTGATACTCAGCATTAGGTTTTGAAGGGGATAATCCATTCATTTCAAAGATTACTTCATCATATTTGCAAGGAAATTTTACCTGCCCCAATAACTTTCTCAATACGAATTCGTGATGGATCTATTTCCTTAGCAAACTCATGAACAGCGAGTGATGGGTCTTCATATGTGTCTGGATCAATGTATGTTTTAGTTCCTGGGAATTGTACTGTAAAGACAGAAATACAATGTTTTGCATTAAACAGAAATGATTCAACAAACAAAGACTCCGGAAAAATAAAATAGACTAATTAAATGTGCTATATAATCGTAATGAGAAATATCTTACCAGATTCTGCCACTAATGTTCATGGGCCTACTTCCAAGAAAGGAATCCCCCCGCCACCCAGCACACCTCTGGGTATATAGAAAGTCCTGTCTTGCTTGTGAATAGCCCTATTTAACTCTCCTATTGGTTCGTATTAGGCCATCAAGCTAGCTATTATGGAGAATGATATATTAACTCATACGGGAACCTTCAGTTTAGGCTACATTGATATTATATGTTCTAAATATGTAGAAGAATTGACACTGAATATAAGTCAGTTCACTGAAATGCTGGAAATGAGAAAGAAATTGTAAGTAAATGCATAGATACTCATTCTTAGCAACCAAATGGAAAATTATTCCCAGCAGGCAAAAGTTGGAAAGTTCAGGGGGGAAAATCACATAACGAGGAGCAGGTGGAAATGTACAAAAGCATCTTCAGTGCTGGTGAAAGACATTTATCTGAAGTGTTCAAAGTGGAAGGCACTTTCCCTACATAACACAAGCACCTTGGAATAAACACCCTCCCCCTCCCCCCCCACCCCACACACACACGTATGTGGATTAGCTCTTTGATTCACTTTGGGGCATTTTGGAGAGTCTAAAATATTTGCTTACTTATGCATGTGTGTACATAGCACACACATGTATATAAATGTAAATAGAAATTTATATTGTACCTGTCTGTGCTATGGGATGTTTTGTGAAGAGCATTGAGGTGAATACAATTGCTTCTGCTCATATGAAACTCTAAGCATGCATTCAGTACCCATACTGAATAGAATGAAGGTGTACATATTTAAAAGATGAGCTCCAAGAGCTTATCAGCTAGATATAGGAAGTGAAAATACAGTAGTACTCATTTAAATATGAAACAACACAGACAGATTTACTTACAATGCCCATTTTGCAAATGAGCTCTTCGTTTTTCTTCAGACTTCATTTTTGCCTTTATATACCACTGGCACCTTTAAGATAATAAATACCATTTTACTTTTTAAAAATGGCACAGAATGAATGACATTAAATTTATATGAAGAATGTTTTTGTTTCAAATTTAAACTTACAAAAGCTACGGGTGATTGAAAAGGGTAGCTAGAGAAACCAGCAAGAAAACAATTAAAATGCATTTGATGTGATCAGTAATAAAATGACCTACACTGAAATGGTGATGGATACCTAATGTGTCAAGTGGCTTCCAAGAATGTACTGGCTAACTGTTAAGACTTATATATAGATATATACACCCCCCCACATGTACATCTCATTAATGGAGCAGTTCAACATGATGACTGGAGTCATCTCTGCATGATCAAAGGGAGTTTGAGGACACCTGCACAGGTATGGATGGACGCACACTGTGCTCCTTCTGCAAGTAGGGTCCCCTTTTAGACTGATCACAGTCAGATGTTGCTGGAGTGCATGTGTTTTGGTTACTGTGGGCTAAACATGTTAGCATGTTTTTGCAAGCATCATACATATCAAGCACCTGATGATAACTTGAGTATCAAAGCAGATACAACATACTACTTTTATTGTTTTGCTTTTAAAAATGGCATCTACAGTAGAAACACTACAATTTCCTTAAACCGTGAAAATATATACCAGCATAAAAAGGTTGATAAACTATAGTTCTTCGTTGTGTCCTCTGTGCATCACACATATGGGTACTGCGCCTGCGCAGTGCCTGTGGCTGGAAGATTGATAGCTAACGGTTTTTGGCGGGAAGCTCTGCTCCCCCTCCCCCCTGTGGCCTATAAAGAGCGGAGCGTCCACCATTTTGTTCAGTCTTTGCGACCGCCGTTTGCTGTGCCTCGTGCCACTTTCGACTTTCACTTCGACTATTACCTCGTTCTCGAATTGTCCTCTTATCCTAGTTTTTTTCCTCTCCTTGTTCCCAGCTCATTATTCTGCGTAGCTTTTCTCTCGTTATTTCTTCTTTCAGTCTATCAAATATATACACACACACACACACACACACACACACACACACACTTACCCTCTTCACTATCTCTCTTTTCTTCCTCTTCTTCGCGATGGCGCAGCGGGCAGCTTTCCGCAAATGCGCGGATTGCGGGTCAAAAATGGCACCAACTGACCCGCATGATCTATGCCTTCTCTGCCTGGGAGAGGGGCATAGGACGGATAAATGCGCGCATTGCCTGGCCTTCTCCAAGCAGGCCAGGAAGAACCACGAAAACTGGCTTCGGAGGCTCCTTTGGGATCGGGCTCTGATGCAGTCAGACCCGCTCGTCGCCGTCCCAAAACCTGGCTCTGCTTCTGTGGCCCCACCCTCATGGCCTTTGGACGAAGGTGCGTCTGCTTCAGTGGCCCCCTCTGCTTCACCTAAAAAGAAGCATGAAAAGCGGAAGCACACCAAAGAGAAGTTGGCAGGCCATAAGAAGGCCAGAAAGGAGAAGGTCTCCAAGCCTCCAAAAAAGTCCAAGACCTTGGACCGTCCGGACTGTCCCCGAAATCGGAATTTGGAACTGATGGGACTCTCAGCACCGGTGGCGGTTACGATTCCAACCCTGCCCGAACCGGTCCTCCAGGAGGCTATGCGGGTTACCCCTCAAGAATCTCCCCGCCGTTCGGTTGACCTCCCGCCTGCACCCCTTCCAACTCTACGGGGTTCAATTTCCTATGGGGAATCCAAGACTCCCCTCCTAGGGTGAGGTCACCAACACCCATGCCCACGGTGATGATAGAAACGGACGTTGGCCTGTCCCCACCAGGGAGCCGGAGGAGCCACTCGGTAGAGCAACGCCCGGAGAGTTGGCGTCGCCCTTACTACCATACTTGGGGCGATCCGCTCTCTGTAGGGTACTACCCTGCTCCCAGGGCACGATCATCTCCACCCCGCGACCAACCGCGATCAGTGGATTCAATGCGGGTGCCACCTCGATCCCCACAAAGTGGAAGCAGCCGCTCCTTCTCGCCGGCAGAGTCATCATCTTCGGCCCCACCCTACTACAGTGCCAATTCGGCTGACTCAGAGGTCGACTCAACCTCCCCAGACGTCGCTGTGACATCCCAGGGTCCTGCGTCACCCGACGAGTCCCACGTCTCCTTCGTGGAGCTGATGTCGAGACTTGTCCAGTCCCTGGACATCGACGCTGCCCAGCACCCAGGACTGTCGACAGACAAGTTTTACGACGTCGTCCGCGGGGAGCAATCGACATCTATCTTTCTGCTGCTCATAACCACCTTGCAGCAGGCAATGACGCAGCCCTGGGACCTGCCATCACATCCTCAGCCGACATCCAGGAGGTATGAGTCGATGTACAGGGTTCAGGAAGAGGATATTCCCTTCCTCCTCAAACACCCGAAACCGAACTCTGTGGTCGTCGAATCCTCGCAGGGCAGAGAGGCGAGAGGACACATGGCACCAAGAGATAAAGAGGGCCGAAAAATAGACTCCCTGGCCAGGCGAGTCTATGCTGCTTCGGGCTTGGGGCTTCGCATATCAAATTATGAGGCGACGTTGACGAGATACCAATATTTTATTATGCAGTGCCTCCACAACGTCGCCTCCACCCTCCCAGACCACCAGGGTGATCTCGCGAAGGTCCTGATCAAGGAAGCCGTGCAGGTCGCGGTGCAGCATTTGTCCACGGCAAGGCACCACGTGGATACTGACTCCCGGGCCTTGGTCGGTGCCATTTCTCTTCGGAGGCATGCATGGCTAAGGAATTGTAATTTCCCGGAAGAAACCAAGCGGTGGATAGAGGAAATGCCTTTCGATGGATCCGGGCTTTTCCATTCTTGAACCGACCATAAGCTCAAGAAGCTCCATGAATCGAGGATGACAGCATGCAGGATGGAGATCCAGTCTCACGCTAGACGTAAATGGTCCTGGAATTGTCCATCCTACAGGCAATCCTATCAACCGAGGCAGCAGCCTCAACACCGCCAGCAACAACAACAGCAGTGCCACCGTCCTCAGCCCCAACAGCGTTTTCAGCAGGGCTGCCGTCGTTTTGACGATCGGAGGCAACACTGACAGGACTGGCGAACCATTCCTCACACTCCTTCAATACCCACCCCCCTCTCATTTGGGGATCGGCTTCGAAGCCGACTCCCCATTTGGGAGTCCTTCACATCTGATCGGTGGGTATTATCCATTGTTCAACACAGCTATCGAATAGAATTTGACATCGTTCCTCCATGGTCTACTGTATGCTCACCGGTACTCTTCGACGAAATACGTCAACTTCTTCGTAAAGGAGCGATTCGTCAAGTATTTCCATCTGACGGACTTCACGGATTCTATTCCAGATACTTCACGGTCCCTAAGCGGGATGGTGGTCTATGTCCCATTTTGGATCTATGGAACTTAAATACGTTTATTGTACCGAGAAAGTTTCGTATGACTACCCTTCAAAACATTTTGCCGTTGTTAAGGAAAGAGGATTGGTTCGCCTCACTGGACTTGAAGGATGTCTACTTCCACATTTCAGTTCACCCAAATTACAGGCATTTCCTTCATTTTGTGATTGCAAGCCAACTTTATGAGTTCACAGTTTTACCTTTTGGACTGGCTATGGCTCCGAGAGTTTTTACCAAGTGCATGGCTCCTGTCTGTGCCTTCCTACGCCTTCAGGGCATACAAATTTATCCGTACCTCGATGACTGGCTGTTGGTCTCACAGTCCAGAGAAGGACTCTTGGCGGCCATCCATAAG